CCTGCATCAGAAATTAGTGAATTAAAGGACACTTATTTGTTTTAAATTAAAATAATGTTTTAAGTATATGTGTATCTTTTTTTTCGGGGGGGGGGAGGGGTACTAGGGCTTGAATTCACGGGCACTCTACCACTGAGCCATGTCCCCAGCCTAATTTTGTATTTTATTTAGAGACAGGATCTCACTGAGTTGCTTAGTGCCTCGCTGCTGCTGAGGCTTGCTTTGAACTCTGGATCCTCCTTGTCTCAGCCTCCCGAGCCACTGGGATTACAGGCATGTGCCACCATGCCCAGCTCAAGTGTATGTGTATTATTTTTAATGATTTTCTCTTTTAACTGACTTTTTTCCTCTGATGATGTAACTGCCAAGATGAAAAGGCACTTATTTATGGAATTTAATAGCCAAATTATATTTTAATTTTACATGATGACATACATTTTTCTTTTCCATTTTAAAAAATGGGACTTGTTTTATTATCAAATTCTATCATATTCCAAAAAACTGCTGGATAATAGATTTAGTAAATCTTTTCAGCTAAAATTTTTATTAATAGTTATACTTGCCATTTTAACCTTCCTCCCTCCTTCCCTCCTTCCCTCCTTCCCTCCTTCCCTCCTTCCCTCCCAGGTGCTTTACCACTGAGCCACATCCCCAATCCTTTTGTTTTATATTTTGAGACAGGGTATCACTAAGTTGCTGAGTCTGTCAGCCTCCTGAGCTGCTAGGATTATAGGTGTACACCACCACACCCAGCTCTCATGTCATTGAAAATTTTTTCTAAGGCTGGGGCTCAGTGGTAGAGTGCTCTCCTCACATGTGGAGGGCACTGGGTTCAATCCTCAGCATCACATAAAAATAAAATAGAGGTATTGTGTCCATCTACAACTAAAAAAAAAAAATTAAAATTTTTTTTTCTATAAATTATGTCTCAATTTAAACACATGTCTTTTTCTCTTCTTTAGACAGTTACTTGAAATTTATCTTTTGAGATTCATTGTTTTATGAGTGAAGAATATTTTTGGTGATTAGACAGCTTTATAAACTTGGTTTAATTAATGTTCCTTAGGCCAGAACTGCTTCTCATGTCTTCTGCCTTTTTGGCTACAGCAATGCCATTGCAGTTTGGTGATGGCAGTAAGCAACGTGTCCGTGAATATGCTTGTAGGCATTCAGTTCTGATCCCAAAGAAGATACTCTTGTAAACATGGCAGGAACACCAGCATAGCAGGACTACAGTTGAGGTGATGAGAAAGAAGAGAGGACAAAATAGATAACTCAGACAAGTTTCTTCTCAAATAACCATCTAAAGGCCTGAGTCACTCACAAATCTTCTCTGAGAAGTACATAACCAGAATGTCATGCCTTTGCCTTCTAATTTATTATAGTTAAAAAGGATAAAAAAGAAAAACTATATTTTAATAGTTCATTTAATTAAAAAAATATATACGTAGGCTAATTGTTCTGATTTGCTTTAGAAGGAACTTAAGTTTAGCAGAATATGGTGATGAATAGTATAGATTTGTGGAGATGAGAATGTTTGGATTTTAATTTTAATGTATCACTTGCTAGCTAGTGAGACTAGCTTGTGAAAGTGAGACTTTGGAAAAACACTAACTAAGCCTCAGTTTTCTCCTTGGGAAAATGAAGATAATAATARCACTCACATCRAAAAAATGGGTATGAGAATTCAATGAGACAGTCTATTTAAATGCTTATTGTAGTGCTTGGCACTTAATAGGCATTCTTTARATGTTAGATAGTATTTTCCTAATATGTGCCATATGCCACAGTGTTATATTAAGAGACTTTCTAGGAACGGTGGTCAACAAATTGTTTTTGATAGAATATAGGTTGACATTTTCATTAAATATAGGTTTTTAGGCTATAGGTCATAAGTGTACATTGTTAAATTCTTTTGTTTGATAAATTACATCTGACAGTCTTCACTGACATGCAACATGTTTTGCCTTAGAATTTTCTGTTATCTTTGGATCATTTGTAGCAGATGACACTATAATTTTCATAGTGCTGCTGCCTCTYTTTACCTTTTTTCCTCCCCCTCCCAGCCCTTATTTAGTTAGGTAGTTAGAAGCAGGATCTAGCCTTGAATTTGCAATCCTCCTGCCTCAGACTCCCAAGTAGCTTTGATTACAGGTATACACCACTGCACCCTGCAGTGTCACACCCTTTTCTTAGAAACTTCTAGAATATCTTCTTTATTGACTCAGGTGAAACAGAATCTACTCACTCTTTCCTTCCTTCCTTCCTTCCTTCCTTCCTTTATTTATTTATCTATCAGGGATTGAACCTAGGGACTCATGCATGGTAGGCAACCACTTGACCACTGAGCTACATCCCAAGCCCTTTTAAAAAAAAATGTATTTTGAGGCAGGGTCTCACTGGGTTGCCTGGGTTGGCCTTGAGCTTGAGATCCTCCTGCCTCAAACTCCCAAGTCACTGGGCTTGCAGTACTGCACCTAGCTTCCCTCACTTTCAGTTTAATAAATCTATAGTATTGTTGGTAGAAAAGAGAAAGAAATATGGTTCTTTTCTCTAAGGACCATTGGTGAAAAAAGCTCTCAAAGGCTGATTTGACTAGTGGCCAGCCCACTTTTGTTTTTACCTGGGAGTACTGAACTTGTTTCTGGGCCCTATGGTTAATTGGTTGGTACTAGATAAACTTGATATAGCTTTGGTTCAGCTGCAGAAAAACAGATGTAACCTTTGCCACAAATACAAAAGTTTAAAGGTTTATTATTAAAGTCTCCATAAGGGCTAGGGGGTGTTTCTCACAGGTAGAATGCTTCCCTAGCATGCATGAGGCCCTGAGTTCAATCCCCAGCACTGCAAAAATGCAAACAAAAAACTCAAAGATCTTCATAGTCTGATTATTAACATAACAGAAGCATAGGTGACAACCAACAGACTTGAGCTCTGGCATAGATGAAGGATATTGTTCAAGCTAAGAAGCCCACCTGATTCCAAAAGCTGTTTATTGATTGTCATCTCAACAATAAGGATTGTATGCAAAATCTACACTCTGTCCACCTTTTGTGTAAGATGAAATATATTTATTGTGCCAAATGTGTTAAATGAAGATATTAGTGAACTCTCATATATCAGCTGCTTTTAGGTAGTTGAAAAGAATTTGTAGAAGAGGTCMACATTCCAAGAAAAGAAAGAAATGACCAAGGTTGCTTAAAATAAGAGGCTTGGAACATTTCTTGAAAGGCAATAATGGAATGACTAAAGAAGTGGGGTTGTTTATTAGACTTGTCTGGTAAATGGTAGATGGGATATCAAATGAACAGATTGGTACTTAGTGCAACTACATAGCTGGTGTTAAAAATAGAAAAACAACCAAAAATTGATCTAATATCTCATTTTACTTCACTACTTAATAGGGTGAAAAGAGTTACTGATAATGCAATGCATGCACTCTACTAATGGTGTGAGCAAAGTACTTCGGAAGGGCAGAAATTTGAATCGCCAATTATGCATTAGTGGGAAGGAATTATTAGATAAGGTTAAACAAAGTAGTAAAAGTGGGAAGACAGCCATCAGGAAGAGGGACAGGGCATTCTAAGCATAGTAATGGTGTAAACAGAAGCACAGAGGTGAGTGTATATGTGGCATTGGGAGGGTGTATGGGACAGGGACAGGAAATGAAACAATGAAATTATAAGAGCGTGGATAAAGCAATTATCTTGTACTTAATTGTAAGAAAAATTGCTGTAGCTGGGTGTGGTGGCACATGATCCTGGGGAGGCTGAGAGGAAAGAGGATCATTTGAGCTTAGAGTTTGAGACCAGCCTGAGTAGCACTATGAAACTCTGTCTCAATAAGAAAGAAAAAGGTTGGAACTGAGGATGTGACTCAAGTGGTAGCRTGCTCGCCTAGCATGTGTGAGGCACTGGGATCAATCCTCAGCACCACATAAAAATAAAAATATTGTATCCACCTAAAACTAAAAAACAATTATTTAAAAAAAAGAAAAAGATAACTCTAGTTGTTAAGAATATGGTTTGGGGGAGGGGATCCTGAACTGAAATCAAAATTCAATGGATGTATGAGTTTGTTGGGATGAACCCAACTACTATATWTAACCATAATGTTTTAATAAAAAAAAATTTAAAAAAAGAWTATGGTTTGGAGAGAAAAACACTGCAAACTTTGAGTTCTCTAGTAGCTTTTTTATTTATTTTGATGAATATTGATCACTGAGCAGTGAATAAAAATAGAAGAAGATAAATGGAACAGGCAATACCAAAAAAAATTTGGCAGCCATTTGGAAGGGGGTTATAGGAAGAGAAAGGAGCCAGATGATCTTATTTTCTTCCTCAGCTGAATGGATGGATGTTATTACCATAAACCAATTTGGGGGATTATAGAGAGGAAACAAGAGATTGGAGCAGAGAAAGAAGAAAAGCTTGTTTAGTTTTTGACATTTTGAATTTGAAGGGCCTGTGGGACGTCCTAATATTCAGTAGGTAGCCAGAAATTTAAGAGGAGATACAAACTCTCACACTATACACACACCCAGCAGCATGTAGAGCAGATAATTAATSCCTTAGAAAGAGATGCAGCCTTCAAAAAGAATGAGTTCTAGAAGAATGCCTAGGACTATATCTTAGAATATCTTAGAGAAAACCCAGCATATTTGGTGTGGGAAGAAAATGTTCTTATGTGTGCACATATTCTGAAGTTGTATAAGTGGTCATTTTATTTTGTATTCGTTGCTTTGCTTTTCTCTGTAGCAATGGAGATGAGAGAATATTTGCCTTATTAGTCGTGTATAATTTTCAAGTGTAGTGTACTATTTTAGACTTTTTTCCTTAAATTTTTTTCCTCCTCTCCAGACTGTCATTTTGTTGGGTTTTTGGATTTCCTAATGAGAATAATTAGTTTAAGGAGACTGGTAATTTTTATCATAACATTAATCTTTCAAAATGATCATGTTATCATATTATTAGTCATTTCAACTGCTTTTCCCTCTACAGGAGCTGATGCAACAGAACGGGATTGGTTATGTGTTAAATGCCAGCAATACCTGTCCAAAGCCTGACTTTATCCCTGAGTCTCATTTCCTTCGAGTGCCTGTCAATGATAGCTTCTGTGAAAAAATTTTGCCATGGTTGGACAAATCAGTGGATTTCATTGGTAAGTAGTTCGAGTAGCATTACAGTCCTTTGGGTTATAGTCTCATCTGTAGGTGTAGCCCCTCTCTCTTCTTTTTATCTTTAAAGGAAAGGAACCTGTTTCAGAGATTTCAAAGTCAGGAAAAAACATGATGTTGCTTTCTCACTTAGCTGTCAAGGTGATGTGCGTGTTGTGCTGTCCCTAAGGTTTGGCCTTGTGAGACCTGTTAGCTAACTTTTAACAGTACCAAGGGTAAGCCTCATAGGATGTGTGATTGTGTGTTGCAAGTGTTTAAAAATTAGTTAAGCTTTTGGGAATAATTAATACCAATACTCTTCAAATTACTCCATGAAAAGAAGAGGAAGTAACCATTACAAACTCATTCAACAAAGCTATTATCATCCTGATACCAAAACCAGGCAGAGACACATCAAGGAAAGAAAATTTCAGACCAATATTCCTGATGAATATTGATGCAAAAATTCTCAATAAAATTCTGGAAAATCACATTAAAACATTAAAAAAATAGTGCACCATGATCAAGTAGGGTTCATTCCAGTGATGCAAGGTTGGTTCAACATATGGAAATTAATAAATGTAATTCATTACATCAATAGACTTAAAGATGAGAATCATGATTATATCAATTGATGCAAAGAAAACATTTGACAAAACACAGCATACTTTCATGTTCAAAACCCTAGAAAAACTAAGGATAGTAGGAACATACCTCAACATCTATGCTAAACCCAAGGCCAACATCATTCTAAATGGAAAATAATTGGAAGCATTCCCTCTAAAAACTGGAACAAGACAGAGATGCCATGCCCTCTTTTACCACTTCTATTCAACATAGTCCTTGTAACTCTAGCCAGAGCAATTAGAGAGACAAAGAAATTAGAGGGAATACAAATAAGAAAAGAAGAATTCAAACTATCATTATTTGCTGACGACATGGTTCTATACTTAGAGGATCCAAAAAACTCCACCAGAAAACTTGTAGAATGAATTAATGAATTCAGCAAAGTAGCAGGATATAAAATCAGTACCCATAAATCAAGTGGATTTCTATATATCAGTGATGAATCCTCTGAAAGACAAATTAGGAAAACTACCCCATTCACAATAGCTTTAAAAAAAATAAAATACTTGGGAATCCACTTAACAAAAGAGGTGAAAGACCTCCATAATGAATACTGCAGAACACTAAAGAAAGAAGTTGAAGAAGACCTTAGAAGATGGAAAGATTCCATGCTCTGGATAGGCAAAATTAATATTGTGAAAATGGTCATATTACCCAAAGCACTATACAGATTGAATGCAATTCCAATTAAACTCCCAATGTCATTCCTTATAGAAAAAGCACTCAGGAAATTCATTTGGAAAAATAAAAGACCCGAGAATAGCTAAAGTAATTCTTAGCAAGAATAGTGAAGCAGGAGGCATCACAATATCAGACTTTAAACTAGACTACAAAGCTTCAGTAACAAAACAGCACAGTATTATCATGAAAACAGACATGTAGAGCAAAGGTACAGAATAGAAGACAGAGTGACAAACACACATAAATATAGTTATTTCATATTATACAAAGGTGCCAAAAACATACATTGGAGAAAAGATAGTCTTTTCAACARGTGGTGCTGGGAGAACTGGAAATCTATATGCAGCAAAATGAAAATAATTTCTTTGATATATGGAGAGTAACTAAGAACAGAGTTGGGAGGAAGAGCATGAGAAGAAGATTAGCATTAAACAGGGATGWGAGGTGGGAGGGAAAAGGAAAGAGAAGGGAAATTGCATGGAAATGGAAGGAGACTCTCATGGTTATACAAAATTACATACAAGAGGAAGTGAGGGGAAAGGGGAAAAAAAACAAGGGGGAGAAATGAATTACAGTAGATGGGGTAGAGAGAGAAGATGGGAGGGGAGGAGATGGGGGATAGTAGAGGATAGGAAAAGCAGCAGAATACAACAGACACTAGTATAGCAATATGTAAAACAGTGGATGTGTAACTGATGTGATGCTGCAATCTGTATACGGGGTAAAAATGGGAGTTCATAACCCACTTGAATCAAAGTGTGAAATAYGATATGTCAAGAACTATGTAATGTTTTGAACAACCAACAATAAAAATTAAAGAAAAAAAATGAAAATAAACTTCTATCTCTCACCACACACTCAACTAAGAGTGGATCAAGGACCTAGGAATTAGTCCAGAGACCTTAGAAAAAGTAGGCCTTGCCTTAACAAGACTCCTAAAGCACAAGAAATAAAATCAAGAATTAATAAATGGGATGGACTTAAACGAAAAAGCTTCTTCTTAGCAAAAGAAACAATGAGTTTGAAGAAAGAGCCTACATTTGGGGAGAAATTTTTGCCACATGCACATCAGATAGAGCACTAATCTTCAGGATATATAAAGAACTCAAAAAACTTAACACCAAAGAAAACAACCCAATCAATAAATGGGCTAAGGAGCTGAATAGACACTTCTCAGAAGATATACAATCTATCAACAAATATATGAAAAAATGTTCGACACCTCTAGTTATTTAGAGAAATGCGAATCAAAACTAAGATTTTATCTCATGCCAGTCAGAATGGCAGTTATCAAGAATAGAAATAACAATAAGTGTTGGCAAGAATRTAGGGGAAAAGGCATATTCATACATTGCTGGTGGGACTGCAAATTGGTGCAACTGCTTTGGAAAGYAGTATGGAGATTCCTTAGAAAACTTGGAATGGAACCACCATTTGACCCATCTATCCCACTCCTYKGTCTATACCCAAAGGACTTAAAATCAGCCTGCTATTATAGTAATGCAGCCACATCAATGTTCATAGCAGCTCAATTCACAGTAGTTAAACTGTGGAAGCAACCAAGGTGCCCTTCTATAGATGAGTGGATAAAGAAACTGTGGTATATGTACAGAATGAAATATTACTGAGCATTAAAAGAGAATAAAATTATGGCATTTGCAGGTAAATGGATGGAGTTGGAGGATATCATGCTAAGTGAAGTTAGTCAATCCCCAAAAACTAAAAGCTGAATGTTCTCTCTGATAAATGGATGGTGATCCATATTGGGAGGGCATGGGAAAAATGAAAGAACTTTGGGCAAAGGGGAGGGAGGGGTGGAGAGGGGGGATGGGGCTAGGAAAGATGGTGGAATGTGATGAACATCATTACCCTGGGTACCTGTATGACTACACATATGACGCGATGCTACATCTTGTACAACCAGAGAAATGAAAAGTTGTGCTGCAGTTATGTACAATAAATCAAAATTCATTCTGCTGTCATATATACCTAATTAAAATAAATAATTTTAAAAATTAGTTAAGCTTTTGGAATTAAATCTTACACACGCAACTTTTTCAAATCCTGTAAAACACTTTGGGAAACTTTGATGATATTCCCTATTTCCTTGCTGCTCTTTTCCCCAGGGAAAAGTCAAATCTGATGGGGGATAAAAAAAAGTCCTAGTACATTTAGAATCTCTTACATGTCACAAGATATCTGAGCCTCAATCCAAGTGGCAATATTTTCAAGTAGTTGTGGGTCTAATAAAATTCACACACATTCTGTTTCCTACTCCACATTCAGCTTCAAATTCAGAATTTCTATAAGTCCTTGTTGCTTTTGTGACCTTATGGTCCTGCAGGATCAAGTGTGTTGGTGGTAATCGGTGATGTTTTTAAAGTGTGGTTTGTGTGGAGAGGCTGAACAGAGGAGAAAACTGCTCCCTAGTGAGCAGCATAATAAGGTGTTTACCCTTAATGTCCATGTGAGGAATTTTTGTTGCTCACCCCCTATAGTCACATCTGTTTGAGCACTCTAATCCACACTGAAATACTCTGAATTGGTTACTGTAGTTAAAAATAAAAGAACTAGTTTCTTTAAAAAAGAAAAATGATGCAAATTAAGTCCCCACTATATTTTATCATCTAGGAGAGGGATTTTCTAGGTAATGCTATTGGAGCTTTGGGTAATTCTGAAATAGTTATCTTTTCTCAAGTTTTCCAGATTGCCAAGAGTTTCTATATTCAATTAGGACTCGTTCTGTGAGATAACTAAAGATAAATGACCATGACCACTCCCATTAAAATAATCATAGAAAAAATTCCCCAAATTAATACTCTCTCATTATGCTTCTAGGAAATGTCTTCAGCATAGCATTCACCTTCTGCTGCTTTAGAAAAGTAATAATAATGATTAATGCTGCCATTACATGTCATATTGATCCAGATTCATTTCGCTCTAATTTCAGCTAAAAGTATGATCTCAGGATCTATCAAGAGGAGAACCTGATTCTGTTAAGTCATAACAATGCCTACATTTGGGAGGAATTCATAAAAAAGAGAATATGAGTAACTTTACTCCCAATTTATTTTCTTCTTTCATCAGAGAGATTGGGGTCATCATGCCACTTTTCATTTATGCAAAAGGAACTTTACCATGTTTCAATTGGTTAAATGTACACAAACACACACACACACACACTTATTTGCTTGGTTCTATTTAGGTGAGCCACTTCCCTATCCCACTCAAATAATTGAAGGCAAAAATCTCATTTTTTTTCATATTCACTGTAATTGCTATTTGTCTTCTCCATGGTACTTGATGCCATGGTTAGTCATGATAGACTATGTAATTAGAAGATGTACCSCTATACCTAGACACAATATCTTGATTTTTCTCTTGTTATTTAGATTAAATTTCAGCAAGTCTCTGGGTTTGGTGGAAGGACTCGGGTTTTCATGGAGCTTTATATTTTATTTTTAGTCAATGTAGGCAGCAGTAGCAAAGTTTGCCTGTTTGTGTGGTGGGGTTCTCATGAGGTACCCTCTAGTGCATCTGGATGCCCCTGCTCCCTCCTCACTGTCTCCTTGCCTCCCCCCGCCCAACTCACTCACACCAAACTCATGACTTTGCACCAAGGCAAGGTGATTAAGATCATGTACTTTAGAGCCTAACTATCAGTATTTGAGTCTGGCTTCCCTTAGTTAATAGTWAGTAGTTTGGAGTAAATTGCTTAAAACTTATATGCCTGAGGACTTCAAGTTTGAGGCCATCCTTGGAAACTTTGGAAGAGCCTCTCTGAAAGTAAAAAAGGGAAGGGGATGTAGCTCAGTGATAGAGCATCCCTGGGTTCAGTCCCCAACATGGAGGTCATGCTTGTGTGCCTATTTCCTGAACTGGAAACTACCTTATTGTGATGCTGAAGAATTAAAGTAGATAATATATGTGTATTAGATACCTTGCAAAGTACTTGGCTCCTAGTTGGCTTTAAGTAAATATTTTTAGTTTGGTTGGCTTTTTTTGTTTGTTTGTTTTGCTTTTGAGGTGGGGTCTTGCTGCATTGAACTTGTGGGCTTGAGCAATAATTCCTGTCACCTCAGCCATCTGAATAGTCATGAGCCACCTCATCCAGCTAATATTTTAATAATGTAATGAGAATTTCCTCCTTTCTTATGCCCCCTCTCTTTATTTGTGACCCTTTCTCCTTGTTTAGTGTAAATTTTATTCCTGRATTTCTGTAGTGCTAGTGTGCCATTTCTATTTCCATTGACACCATCACTGCCTTCTTGTTCCCTATTCAGGAACTTGCAAGAGGCTCTTTGATTTCCTACATAAAAATTACATCCTTTAGCCTAACATTCCCAAGAGACCCTCCTGCAGCTGCTCCCCACCTGTGAAATCTTCTGGTTATTTCTCATACAGCTTGTGAGTGCCAACCAAGGCAGGCTGTTTTCTGGGCACTTTGTTCAGCCCATCACAGGGCTTTCCTGCACACTTTTCCCTTCTCTTTGTCAGGTCTGTGTGTATTTCTTCCTTTGCTTTAAGCCTTAGTTTAGCACTCATGTCTGCCAGGAACTCCACTCCAGTGTAAGCATTTCTTTTTTTTCTTTAAGAGAAAGAGAGAGAAGAGAGAGAATTTTTAATATTTATTATTTTTTAGTTTTCGGCAGACACAACATCTTTGTTTGTATGTGGTGCTGAGGATCGAACCCGGGCCGCACGCATGCCAGGCGAGCGCGCTACCGCTTGAGCCACATCCCCAGCCCTATAAGCATTTCTTAATTTGATTTTTAAAAATGTATCAAGAGGGCGGGATGTAGCTCAGTGGTAGAGCACTTGCCTAGCATGTGTGAGGCACTGGGTTCGATTCTCAGCATCACATATAAACATAAAAAATAAAGATCCATCGACAATGTATCATTCATATATATCAAGAGAGTTGTGGTTATAAAAACAATGTTTGAAGAACAGAAAAGGAAACCTATAACCTCAAAATTATAACACGTTACATTTCCTTCTAGCCTTTTTCTTTTTTGTACTGGGGTAATGAACCCAGGGGTACTTAACCACTGAGCCCTATCCCCAGCCCTTTTTATTTTTTATTTTGAGACAGGGTCTTGCTGTGCTGGTCTTGACCTTATAATCCTCCTGCCTCAGCCTGTGGAGTTGCTGGGGTTACAGGCATGTGCCACTACGTCCAGCCCTTTTTCAAAACTTTTATGAAGATTTCTTATTTATCAATCTGCCAGTACTAACTGTATATGTACTATGTCTAGTATTATAGAGGCAAGACCATTCTAGGTCCTCATAGTCTAGTTTTCCAGATGAGACTATGATCAACATTCAAAACCTTAAGCCTACTTCTAATCAGTATTGGAGTAGTTTACAATAAGAGATTGGGATAAAAAGATGCACATATTCATATACACATTAAGGTGGTACAGATAAAAGTGCAAGAATCGAATAATACTGGAGTAGGAAAAGTGCAATAACTGATAGAGAATCTGAATTACTGTTTCTTTTTGAAATTAAATGAAAAATTTAGCTTCTAGCAGCCAAGGCAAAAGGSGGAATACAGAGTAGTGTAGGGTAAGCACTGTATAGTAGAGCAAAGAGAACTAGAGACTTTATATATACAGGTTTATTATTATTTTGTTTAGCACTTGGTTCTTTGTTTCAGTGTTGCATTGTTGTCATTTGTTATTGTTTTACTGTTTGGTTTCCTATCTAGAATGGAAGCTGAAGTTGCTGCCTATTTCATCCTAGATTGTTGGATACATAATGAATAAATCATATCTAGAAAAAATGTGAAATATTTGTGACATAGGCAGTGCTGGAGCTGGTTTCTTACATATTTGTTAATTCTAATAATTTTAACATAGTTTTGGTAACTTTTGGTAGTTTTCAACTAAAATAAAAATGAAAGGGAAGAATGTGCTCCCTGGCAACAGCTTTAAGAAAGAAGCACACATGTAATTGTTTAGAATTGAGACAGTCAGGGCTGGGGTTGTGGCTTAGTGGTAGATTGCTTGCCTAGCATGCATGAGGCACTAGGTCTGATCCCCAGCACCACATAAAAAAACTAAATAGACAAAATAAAGTTATTGTGTCCACCTACAACTAAAAATATTGTAAAAAATAATAAAAAGACTTGAGACAGTCATAGTACTGCATAGAATGTTGGTTGCTTCCAGGCCATGTGGGATAATCTAACCTACTTCCACATTTACGTTTTTTTAAGCCCCTTAACAATGAGAAATGACAGCACTAAAAGTGTCTCTGAGTCCTTCTGCCATGTTTTGGGGGAAGTAATGCGATAAAGGACAGTAACTCCTGGGTGTCGAGGAAGGGATAAAAGTTCTGTTTGTCCTCATTAAAGTGACCTGGTAAACCCCATCTAGCTATGCATAGTTTTCTTCTTAAATTCAGCAAATAAAGTTGAGCCATTTTATGACACATGGTAAAATTTCCTAAATGGAGAACTCATGAATTTTATTATGTATTTATTTATTTATTTAGGGGGGGTGTGCCTGTTAGGTATGGGGATTGAACCCAGAGCTCTCATTCATGCTAGGCAAGTACTCTAGCACTGAGCTACATCCYCGGCCCTTTTTAAAAATTTTTATTTTGAGACAGAATCTTACTAAATTGCCCAGGCTGCTCTTGAATTTGGGACCCTCCTGCCTCCCATGTAGATGAGATCACAGGTGTGTACTCTCATGTCTGACAATTCTTGGCATTTAAAAAAATATTTGGGCTGGGAATGTAGATTAGTGGCCAGTTGCTAGCTTTGAGTGTTTGAGGCCCTAGGTTTAATTTCCAGCATAGCAAAAAAGAAAAGGAAAAAAAAAACTCAACTTGTTTTGGCATCTTGCATTATGATCTAGTCTCTCCCTCACTTTCCTCCTTTCTCATTAGTAATGTGTGTCATATATTATTTGAAATGCAAATATATTTTTWAAAAAATTATCAGCCAGGCTCGGTGGCACAATCCTATCCAGTGGCTCAGGAGGCTGAGGCAGGAAGATCCGGAGTTCAAAGCCAGCGGAGGCACTAAGCAACTCAGTGAGCCCCTGTCTCTAAATAAAATACAAAATAGGGCTGGGGAATGTGGCTCAGTGGTTGAGTGTCCCTGAGTTCAATCCCCAGTTACCCTCCCCCACCCCTAAAATCTCATAGTTGGGAGGAAAAAGTGTGTCAAATAACATGAGTAAACAAATTGTTAGTTGTTATCTTAGGTGTGGAGTTAGGTGGTTCTTATTTTCTTTATATACTTTTCTGTATTTCTGAAAATTTCTACACTAAGCAAGTAGAATCATGTAATGTAGGAATCATATCCAGGAAAATTTATTAAAATAATAATGGAAAAAAAATATGGTAAAAAATACTGAAATAAGTGTCAGGTAACCTGAGTTAGTGACATGTTGCTTATTAATGCTTGTGGACCTTAACCATCCATTGTATAACAATGGTGAGGAAATTATCTTCCCTGACTTCAAAAGAATATTGAAAGAGTAGATATAATGTGAATAGAAAAGATTTGCTTTGAGGTTTTCAGGCTAAGACCTTGAGTAAACAAATGGAAACAAAATTTCCATTTTGCTGAACTAAATTGCTAACTTTCTTGAATTTGACTCATACAGAGAAAGCAAAAGCTTCCAATGGATGTGTCCTAGTGCACTGTTTAGCAGGGATCTCTCGCTCTGCCACCATTGCCATCGCCTACATCATGAAGAGGATGGACATGTCTTTAGATGAGGCTTACAGGTGAGGACAAGAACATGTCTTGTGTGAGTGGGCTTTTCATTTGCCCTGAAACACAGAGAGATGAGTAGAAAAGCAGATTAAAGCAAAYTGTGATTATTTTAGTCACTCTGTTTTCAGGTTTCTGTGGATTTTTAAATGGTCTTGCAAAGATTGAAAAGAATGCAGTTTTATCAGTTAGCATTCATTCTGCCCTAACGTGTCAGATTCATCCTCAGCTACCTTTTAAATTTAAGGAAAAACACCAGGCAGAGAGCTTATTCCTTTCTTTCGTCGGAGAAGTATCATTTGTTCTAATGTATTTATGAAGGAAAAAAAAACCCTCCAGTAGAATATACTCTGCTTCAAACTTTGTATTGCTATGAGGAAAAAGACAAATATAGGCAAGTGTAAAACCAAATAACCATCAAATACATTCACTAATTTCCTATATCCTAGCTGGCCAGATTTTGCAGTGTGTAGTTTTGACCAGGTTGCGCTGGCTCCTATTTTCTCAAAAGGGAAGGCAGGCAATGAGCAGCCCAGCTTGTCTTTTGAGGCAGGAGACAGGTGTGGATGGGCCCTTGTCTACCTGCACCAGAGGCCTCACCATTGTATCACATGAGGAAGTCTTAGCACAAGGACCCTACATTAATATTTAAACTATAGTTGAACTGGTTATTTCTGGCTTTGTTAATTTGCTTTAGATTACTTGAYTTCTATGGAGTTTTTAATTTTTCTTATTCTTTATTTGTATACAGATTTTCTGTGTAGTTTTACTTTTTGCAGCATCTGACAGGTAATTGATTCAYGAAGTTCTGGTGCCATTGAAGAATTTTTCTATTACATTTAAGAGCCTTTGTTTCCTCAGTGAAACATAAAAGCTACTTATTCATAGTTTTGACCCCTTGRTGAATCTTTAACATATTACAAAAATGGACCCAGTATCATCAGTTAGTAGCTATGTGATTTTAGGCAAGTCCAAGATTTATATACCCTCATGATGGGGATAATGGCACCCACTGATTAGGGTAGGTTTGAAGATTGAATAAATAATTTAGGGCATCAGCATAATACTTAGCCCCCAGATACCACTTTGTGGTTGGTTATTCTGTCGTGCAGAGTACAAAAAAATGGAACTCAGAATTAGGTGCTTTGACTATCTGATACTTTTTTTTTTTTTTTTTTTTGGTCATTAAAATGTGAAATGTCTTGAGAAATGACCATGGGGACATTGAAGGGATAATATTGGAAAATTAAAGCTGGCCAATGACCATTACACTGTACTTTTTTTGGTTGTACCAGCGTGTATTATGGCAGGATTTCATTGGTTGTAGCCAAAGAAATCCCCTCTTATCAATTGCATTGGAAGTCTTGAGCCATTAAAAATAATAAGGCTAAAAYTATAGAGCTTTTGGGCCTGGCACCCTCTCTCTCTAGTATGCCTCCAGAGTCAGAGTTCCCTCAGCACAGAAGTCCTTTATATTCTCCATCTTGAGGCATCTCTCTGAACTTGTAAACCAGTCATCTTCCAAAGTATTTAGGAAGGTCTAATAAACCCCTCTTGTTTACTCACTTAATATTCTTAAGATAAAGTGTAGTATAAAATTCAGTTTTTGATTTTTCCTCTCTTCATAGATTTGTGAAAGAAAAAAGACCTACTATATCTCCAAACTTCAATTTTCTGGGCCAGCTCCTTGACTATGAAAAGAAGATTAAGAACCAGACTGGAGCATCAGGGCCAAAGAGCAAACTCAAGCTGCTGCACCTGGAAAAGCCAAATGAACCTGTCCCTGCAGTCTCGGAGGGTGGACAGAAAAGTGAGACATCCCTCAGTCCACCCTTTGCTGACTGTGCTACCTCAGAGGCAGCAGGGCAAAGGCCTGTGCATCCTGCCAGTGCGCCCAGCCTACAGCCATCACTGTTAGAGGACAGTCCACTGGTACAGGCACTCAATGGGCTCCACCTGTCCTCTGACAAGCTGGAAGATAGCAATAAGCTCAAGCGTTCCTTCTCTCTGGATATTAAATCAGTTTCATATTCAGCCAGCATGGCAGCATCCTTACATGGTTTCTCCTCATCAGAAGATGCTTTGGAATACTACAAACCTTCAACTACTCTGGATGGGACCAACAAGCTATGCCAGTTCTCCCCAGTTCAGGAAGTGTCAGAGCAGACTCCAGAAACCAGCCCAGATAAGGAGGAAGCCCACATCCTTAAGAAGCCCCAGACCACCAGGCCTTCAGAGAGCAAGCGACTACACTCAGTAAGAACCAGCAACAGTGGCACCCAAAGGTCCTTCTTATCTCCACTGCATCGAAGTGGGAGTGTGGAGGACAATTACCATACCAACTTCCTCTTCGGCCTTTCCACCAGCCAGCAACACCTCACCAAGTCTGCTGCTGGGCTGGGCCTCAAGGGCTGGCACTCAGATATCTTGGCTCCCCAGACCTCTACCCCCTCCTTGACCAATAGTTGGTATTTTGCCACAGAGTCCTCTCACTTTTACTCTGCTTCAGCCATCTATGGAGGCAATGCCAGTTATTCTGCCTACAGCTGTAGCCAGCTGCCCACTTGCAGTGACCAAGTCTATTCTGTGCGCAGACGGCAGAAGCCAAGTGACAGAGCTGACTCACGGCGGAGCTGGCACGAAGAGAGCCCCTTTGAAAAGCAGTTTAAACGTAGAAGCTGCCAAATGGAATTTGGAGAGAGCATCATGTCAGAGAACAGGTCGCGGGAAGAGCTGGGGAAAGTGGGCAGTCAGTCTAGCTTTTCAGGCAGCATGGAAATCATTGAGGTCTCCTGAGAAGAAAGACACTTGTGACTTCTATTGATTTTTTTTCCACAAAAATATTCCCTGTAAATCTGAAATATATATATGTACATACATATATATTTTGGAAAATGGAGCTGTGGTGTAAAAGCAAAAGGTGGATCAACACAGTTGTTCTCTTAGCATCTGCATTTGAGAGATGAGCTAATATTTCTCTCAAGAAAAGTGGAAGGGCAGATGTTAGAATCCCCCTAACCAGAGGAACCAACTTGTATTCCGTGAATTGCACATTTATTGCTCCTACAGAAGCAACTTTATTTGATGTCAGAGGACAAAATCCCGTACCATTTTCACRTTGTGCTACAATGAGATCTCAAATATTTGTCTTTGTCCAGTCCCTTCCATAGTGCACCTTAGTGCTGAGACTGAGCCACTGGTGGGTCGGGTGGGTAGACCTCTTAGGGACAGAACCTAATGGTTAAATCCAAGAGAAATGATCTTATCCAAACTGATTCACAAATCCAAGCTCACCTGACAGCTGAGTAACATAAGCATCATTCTGCTGCATGGACCATTAGGGGCCTCGCCCAGATCTACTTTAGAACAAACCCAGTACCTCAGACAGGACAGTCGGGGCTTTCACCACTACCATATCTGGGAGCCCGTTTTCTAGGCATTGTGAATAGGTTGGTAGCTAGTCATACTTTCAGAACAATTTAAAACTCTCTATGCACAAAATTCCAATTGGGCCTGGATGGAGTAGGTTGTTTTCTTCTTTTCAGCTTTATTAAGAAAGAGAAGAGAAACCATCTAGGATCCACTGTAGCTAGGAATCTGGCAGTATAATGATTTAAGCCAAGATTGGGAGGCTAAACAAGTCTACCTCCCTTTTATGAATCAAAGAAATGTTTAAAATGGGATTGTTAATCCTTTAATTATTAAAGATTAACTTGGTTTAAAGTCAAATGTGAATTGTCTGGGTTCATAGCAGAGTGACAGATCCTTCAAGTTCTCAGCCAAAGTAGATATTTTCCATTTATTTCATTGCATGGATCCAGTTTGTAAAAATGTAACAACAGGAAGAATTTTATAGGAAACCACCTGGGGGGGGGGGACTACAGAAATATTAAGAAGGTTAAAAAAAAATGCTGAGGAGAAACAGGAAACTTATTTCCTTGATGGCACATCTCCTCTTGGCATGTGATGAGGGTGGTATTTCTAAAATCTCCTCATACTTTTAAATGTACTAATAAGAGTTGAGAGAGGCTTTAGGAAGCAAGGAATACTCAGTAAAACAGTTTAGGAAGGTGAGAAGAAGGCTGTTGAATTTTGTTCAGTTGTGAGTAGAGTGGAAAGCCATAGCCAAGCTATTTTGAAAAGTATCCCTGGCATGTTTTTAGTAAAAGGGGCATATCAAGATGGAAAAAGACCCAAGATGGTTTCTCAGTCCTTGACCTACAATCACTGTATGGAATCAATCCTGGCAGCTGAAAATAGAAAGTAATTAGAACAAGTACACAAGTGATAGTATGTATCTGCTTTTAAATTTCTTGGCTTATGTTTTATCAACTACGGTATGGTCCTCTTTTGAAGCCTTAATTCATGTCAGCAGCTTTTTTKGGGGGGTGGGAAGTGGGACAGGTGTTATTGTTCTTTCCTTTACTGTAAGTGTAGCTAGTTGCTGACTTATATCTCAGGTTTTTCTATGTTTGAGAAATGGATATTCCTTGGACTAGGCTGTGATTTGTTTCCTATGGTGACTGCTAAAACCAGCACAGAATAACGATTCAGAACTGACTGGCTTGATCATGGGGATTATGAGCTTCACAGACATACTGGTTATGTACAAATAATGTGCTATGATGTGGGTATAAAATGGACACAAAAGAGCATGAACTGCATAGGGAGCACATTATTACGGTACTGACAAATTTCTGTGAAATGATCTGAGTTTATATATGCATTTAAATCTTTTATGTAATCAGATATTCTCAAGGTTTCACACAGTAATTTTTGGTGTGTTGTGTATACACACACCGAATGTTTAACAGTTCCCCRCTTCCAGAATCTGGTTACATCTGTCAAACATTTTTTAAGAAATGAAAGCAATAGCTCCATCGTTAAGTGTTTCAGGAGGCTTGGGGGACTTAGGTTCAATAGATCTTTGGGCAAAAATTCACCTTGTGTCATTTAGGGTTTCTGTTGGCTATGGTCCCCCTTCCTTCCTGTAACTGTGATATAGTCATACACTACAACTGTCAGTCCTTGATCAGTTATGTCCAATAATCAGTTCTTGGAATCAAGATTACCATGCCGAAGGGGCAGCCTCCAAGGCAAGTCCTGGAGCTGCTCGGGTCTGTGGGTGATGTGGAGGCTGGTTCTCTTCAGCATGGAATCACAGGGGAACCCCTGGAGTCTACTAGGATGATACAGAATGGTGATTTTAAAGAGTTAAAATAGGCTAGGCTTTTGTGTGAGAAATGCTGGAAATTGATTTAGGACATTTGTAAAGTTAGGTGGAAAGACTGTATAAATGTTTAATATGAATATAGTGTTCTTTTGGAGCAAGAAAAGCTGTTGAATGGTTAAATTGTGCATTTCTCATTTTGATGTGTCATGTATGTTAATATGATGAAATAAAATCAAAACTGGTACCTGTTTATACATAAATATGAGGAAGGACCTTTCTTTGCAGCTGTAAAATTGACAAATAGCATCATCCAAGTTGTCAAAGGAGAGTGTGGTGGAACCTGTCCTGCTATTCTCGAATAAGGTTTAGCTCAAAATAAAGTGGTGATAGTGTCAGATATATCATCTACTACCATTCACATGGAATACTGGATCACTGGCTAACATATCATTGGCTGCCTTCTTTCTGTGTATACCTAAGGCACACTACACTGTAGAAACCAAAGACTTGGTAAATATTTTGATTGATTTTGGAAGAAAAATAAAATTAATGACTTTGTAATTGTTTCAGGAAAAATGGAGGAATCATAACAGAGGATCTATTCCATCCTTGCCATGGGTACTCTAATGGCCTACCTCTCAGCCTGTGACACTGGATATGCTCATTAGTGCAGTAAAAATCATGCCTTACAGGAATSAACTATTTACCTTAGTGCAGCTGATGGAATTACTAAAAAAGACTCACAAGGTAACCTCAYTAAAGTGAACTGTAAAAGGTTCCTGAGCAAGTTGCCGTTGGACTTAAGAAAATTTGAAAGTAAGGAGGACTAGACAGGGTAGGCCAATACCAGCGGTGCCTTGGTGAGGACATTGTAGGGAAAAAATGGGTGGGATAGAAGAATAAAGGGAATATGAAATAACTGTCTCCAGAGATGGAGGGTAGTAGAACAACGTGTTTGTTTAAGAGGCTTCAGGTGAAAAGGCTTAGATCTTGAGAAGGCCTGAAGGTCAAGCCAACTGTTCACTTACTTAAAGGTAGAGCTAGAGGCGTTTAGAGAAMACACGAGCAGCTGGGAGAGGGCTGGTTTGGATCTGACACCTACAATTAGACAAAAACCAGGGGGAAATAGGGAAGGTTTCTGAGATGTGGAGACAAATATGGCCAAATTGGAGTCTTGTGACAGTTTGTGAAGGGCAGAGTGTTGTGGGACAAGATGACAAAAAAATTTTTAGCTTCAAAATGTTCACTGRTATTTTAAATACTGTTGTCAGGTTTTGTTTTTCTGACATTAACCACTAATGTGTAAGGTCTTTTTCTTTGAATATTACTTTTCTGCTCCCAACTTTACAACTCACATATTATAAATTTWTATGCACAAAGGGTGAAGGCCAGCTTCTACTGACCTAATTCACCTAATAAAACTATGTAGTACAGTAGCCTATTTACAGTCGTCATAAGTACAGATGAACAGATTGATAGACAAGCAAAATAGGCTCTTTTAAGAGACAGTCAATACCTAATTTATAAGTAAAAGGAAGGAAGCTTTCCTTTGGGAGCTCTGAATTTTGGAAGACTAGTTTGACAACTAAAAATAAAAACCTATGTCCARTATGAACCAGTGTAACTCCACCTCATGCACAATCACAAAAATGGGAAGTTATTCTCCATGTATGTACATGTCAAAATACATTCTACTGTCATATATAACTAAGAACAAATAAAAGAAAAAAAACTAAGAGGGAAATAGGGAAGGTCTAGATTTCTGATATGAAAAAAATGTGGCAGAATATTTAGAGTGATCCCTGAGTGTCCAAAGAGATTATTAAGACTCAGGACTATTGCTCAGACAAGAGAAATGTTCTTGATTGCTGCTAAATATTTAGTTTTTAGAACTGCAGACTTGCCAGAAGGAAAAGGTTGGTATGTCAGCTTTTTATCTCTCTAAAATGCCCAACATAATTTAAAAATATTTTTTAGTTGTTGACAGACCTTTATTTTATCTATTTTATGTGGTGCTGAGGGTCAAACCCAGTGCCTCATACATGCTAGTAAGCACTCTGCCACTGAGCCACAACCCCGGCTCCACCTGACGTAATTTATGAGGAGGGAAGATTTACTTTGGCTTATGGTTTCAGTCCGTAGTCGTTTGACCCTGTTGTTTTGGGTCTATGAGCATGTGATGGAGAAGACATGTTCACTTCATGGCATTCGGGAAGAAAGAGTGAGAAAGGCYGACGTCCCCAATAGCTCTTCAAGCACGCGCCATCAATGATCCAATTTCCTTCTGTTAGGTTCCCACCTCCCTAAAAACTCCCCCACCTCCCAATACTGCCATTTGTAGGCAAACAAGCCTTGAGCATGTGGACCTTTGGGGGACGTTTAAAATCCAAAGTATAATACAGACTCAAGGAAACCAAATGGCTTRCGAGTCGAGGCTAGAAACTTCCACCCAGATCTCTCACAACTCCAAGCTGACTTCCCAATCCTGGAGGATCCTGTAGTGGCCAGGTAGGTCACTGAGTACTAACCAAGAAAGAACCATCAGTTTCTTAAAAGTCAAATTCCCAGAATCTATTAGAAAAAAGTAAAATATTGAAGAGTAATGTTATGGTACCAGTCAGGGTTCAGTTACGAAAAAAACCACTAGGAATGATATAGAATATGAGGTTCAAAGGATTTGACCTGAAGCAGTTATAGAAGCCGAGAAGATAGTCTTTGTTGGCTGTTTCTGCTTCATCTGAGCACAGGAAGATTGTGAGTTGGGAAGGAATGTAGGTCCTAATGGGGGAAGAGTGTGGACAACTGAGGCCTCCAAACAATAAACTGAAGGCTCACACCTCTCACCAGAACCCAAGTTGGCGGTCTCCTTGTCTAAGCCTTCATCCTCACTGCTACAGGTGACCTGAAAGAAAAGCTAATACTTACACCTGATCTAAAATTTAGAATACCAAAGGCGGAGTTCTACGGGAGCTGGAGAAGCTGGGGGCGCGGCTGCTGCCCACATCTAGGGGAAGGAGATGCCAGAAAACATGCATGAGGCAGAGGCCTACATAAAGACCTGGACCAGGGACTTTCTTAACCCTGGCTGTTGGTCTCCACTTGCCTGCTTAGCGCTGTTTTACCTTTTATTTCTTTGCTTCTTCAGTCCTTTCTTCCCCTAAGAATACCCATGACATGCAAAGTACTGCATTAAGCACTTTGCTTCATTTCCTACTCCCATAGAAATTCAACAGTACTTTGTGTTTTGTCTTTTTCTTTACAAACAAAAGGGCAGAGGCTGCATAGCCATGTCTGTATCCCTGGCACAATGTCTAGCACATGGGATAAGCTCAATTAAATGAATTGCTGAGTGAGTGATCTCCATAGACTGCTGTCAAAGCCTTCATGTCCCACATTTACTAGGCTGATAAAAAACAGTSGGTGGGGCTGGGTTGTGGCTCAGAGGTAGAGCTTTTCCTAGCACTAGCACGTGTGAGGCACTAAGTTCAATCCTCAGCACCACATAAATGTTATTTTTTAAAAAATTGTAAAGTGGACAGAATGCCTTTTTTTTTTAAGATGGTGCTGAGGATCAAACTCAGTGCCTCATGCATGCTAGGCAAGCGCTTTGCCACTGAGCTAMAGCCTCAACCCAATAAAAGTTATTTTTTAAAAAATGATGGTTAGGGCTGAAGTTGTAGCTCAGTGGTAGAGCGYTTGCCTGGCGTGCTCGAGGCACTGGGTTCAATCATCAGCACCATGTAAAAACAAATAAAAATAAAGGTATTGTGTCCATGTACAATTAAAAAAATTTTTTTTAAATAATGGTTAAAACAAAAACGAGTCCTGCCTGTGTTGATGTAATAGAAAGAAACCTAAACTATGCCTACGTCAAGGAAACCAACAATCAATGAGACGAATCTCCAGAAGGTGGAGAAAGGGAGTCTTCATTTTCTGATGATGAAATGTAAGGGACACCACAACCTGGTAGACAACAAGAAAGGCGGTGTTCCATCAGGACAGGAAGAGGGAATTTTCAATTTAGACTTGATGTGACGGAAGTGGGATGGAAACAGTAAGAAYGCAAAGATCTGGATTAATTTTTTTTCATGTTTATAACCCATAACCCAGAGCCTGAGTAAAATTTCACAAGGGCATTGAAGACACATAGCTTCGTAAAAAATTTTTCTCCCTTTTTTCTATGTTTCCACTCCAGTAGCTACTCTAGAATATATATACTGTCAATTAAAAAAAATAACTCTCCATGCAGCATTTAAAACAATTTCTAGTAATGTTCCAACTTCAGTTATCACCAAGGATCAGTTCTGTTCGCTTCACACAGGGCATTCGCATCAAGGGAAGGAGAAGGGCAAAGACAGTCCATGCTGGCAGTGGCAGTCCATGCAGTGTCCACTGCAGTGAGGACCCAGACCTTGTACCAKCTTCAGGCCTTGGTCATACCATAGGACTTGGGCTCCAAATGTCCTCTGGGTTACTGGCTTCTCTGGATCCTAAAAGCAGCCTAGCTGGCGGGAACCAGCAGTGCTATAGCTTGAGCTCTCGCTCTGGCTTCATGCTGAAGGGCTCTAGCCGCTCGCTCTCGGGCAGCATGCTGTTGAGCCTTTCCATCAGCGGCACCGTCTGGTCGATGCCCATCTGTATRCGGCGGAGGATGGCAGACATTTCGTTGACTTTCTGGATCTGCTCGGCGTATTTCGCATATCTTTTCTGGCGTTCCTGCATGAAGCTAAAGAGGGTTTCTACAGACAGATCCATCTATAAAAGGCAAAAAGAGGTAAAACACATTAAACTTTGTTTATCGAAGTCTACTCAGGAGGGTCAGGTGTCCAGCATGAGGCAGAGACCCACAGGTCAAGTGGGAACCGATTAGCTTTATAGGAGGTAGCAGGGGATAAAAAGCCCTTCATGGACAYAGGTTATCAACTGCTACACCAGAACCATCTTTTGGGGAGGGCTGTTTACACCCTGTTGAAATCCTGAGATTTCTATTGCTCTCTCTCTACAAAAAAGAATCCTGGAAATCAGACAAGGATTTGAACCTGGCTCTACCACCTGAGTTCTATTTCACTGTCCTCATCTGCAAAAAACAGGAACTATATTCACAGGCCACACAACTACATTTCAGTCAACAAAGGGCCACATACACAACAGTGGCTCCATAAGACAACAACAGAGCTGAAAAATCCTGTTGCCCAGTGACATCAGAGTCTTGGTAAGGCTGAAGAATCACACATTACTCATGTATGTGGTAATGCTGGTGTAAACAAACCCACTGCACTGCACATACAATTATGTTCAGTACATAATACTTGATAATAAACCACTAAGTTACTGGTTTGTGGATTTATTATACTTTACAATCATTATTTTACAGTGAACTCTTCCCACTGATTAAAAAAAAAAAAAAAAAAAAAAAAGAATGGTAAAACAGGTTTGTTCCAGAAGAAGATGCATGTTACTGCCCTGAAGAACTTCCAGTGGGACCAGAGTGGAGGTGGAAGATAGTGATAGTGGTGACCCTGTACAGGCTTGGGCTAAAATGTGTTTGTATGTCTTAAAACAAGTTTAAAAAGTAAAAATAAAAGAATTTAAAATAGAAAAAAGCTCATAGAATAAGGATATAAAGAAAATAAGGCTGGGGGATGCTTATGGATGACACTTGCCTAGCATGTGTGAAGCTCTGGGTTCAAGTCAGCACTGCAAAAAAGAAAAGGAAGAAAGAAAATATTTTTGTATAGCTGTACGATATATTTGTGTTTTAAGCTGAGTGTTATTATAAGAGTCAACAATTTCTAAAAAAATAGTTTACAAAGTAAAATGTTTTAGTAAGTTTAATTTATTGTGGAAGAAAAAAAATTCTAAAGTAATATAGCCTAAGCACATGGTGTTTCTAAGGCTACAATTACGTACAGCAGTGTGCTCGGCCTTCACATTCACTCCCTCTCCCTCCCTCACCCAGAGCAACTTCCAGGCCTGCATGCTCCTTTCCTGGTAAGTGCCCTATGCAGAAGTACCATTTTTTAATCTTTTATATTGTATTTTACTGTACCTTATCTATGTTTAGCTATGTTTAGATACATAAAATACTTACATTGTGCTACAGTGACCTACACTATCCAATTTAGGATCATACTCTACGCTTCCTGTAGCCCAGGCTCTGCCTTACAGCTCAGGTATGGAGTAAGCTACACTATTCAGGTATGCGTAAGTGCGCTCTGTTCACACAACCTGACAACACATTTCTATCATTAAAGGATGCATGTCTGTAATTTTAGCATTTGCAGCACCAGAGTAAGGAATAAATGAGACAACACATGCAAACATATCTAACCCAGGACTTGGCATGGTACAGAGGTAGGTAGTTTGAAATTTGTTCTTCATCCCACCCCCTACCTCCTCTCCCCTTCCTGCACTCACCTTTCCTGAATAGCYTCAGTGATGCTGTGATCACACAGGGGAAGGGGTAGCTCTCCTTGCCAGGACCAAAAATGCCAACCAAGGTTACAGCCGTACAGTAGACCACCCTTTTGTCAAACTGTGAGGAGTGACTGTGTACCCTTTCCCCCACTCTGCAAACCCATCAGAAACAGGGATGAGGAAATCCCCTYCTCTGCACAGACCCCACATCCACTCCCAACACCTCGTTTCCTTCCCAGATAAGGAAGAAACAGTTTAGCTACCAAGACTCACATTTCTATCCCAAAGCTCTTAACACTACTTCAACCCTTCCTTTTTGGCTATCCCAGAGACATGCCCTTTCCAACTCCAGCATCAGGTCCAGTGCTCAATACTTCTATTGAGCCTCTGAAAATGGTTTTTGTTTTTGAGCCAGAGTCTAGCTATGTTGCCCAGAATGGTCTTGAATTCTTGGGCTCGAATGATCCTCCTACCTCAGCATCCTGAGTGCTGGGACYAAAGGTATGTGTCACTATGCCAGCATACCTAGCTTGAGAGTAGTTTTGATAAAGGTAATTGAACAACATTAGTACATGATTTTTCTATGCCCCTCCATGTTTTGAAATGCCTAGAGGACAGAAAAAGCAGCTAGTAAGAGAGGGGTATAGGGAGAGACAGAGAGAAACATTCATCTTAATGGGAAATGCCAAACCATGTGGAAATAATTTGTACCTTCAGAGGTTCTCTGCATYCCTAATCAGTCATTCAGTACTTTGGAAGCAGTGGCCAGTGAAGTAAAGTGCTCACAATAGTAAACTGATAKGCCTTTTCAAGAGGACCTCAAAGTACTCCATCTTCTGAGGGATCATAGGTGATGTGGAGCCAGCTGGAATCCCATAAGAAAGCACAGCTTATTTAGCTGCCTACCCAGGATTCAGAACCTTCTCAGATTAACACACTTTACTTGGCAGGGGCATTATCAGTATAGATAGAAACATTTGAGTTTAAATGAAATGGCCTCCACAGCTCTAGCTTAGCGTGTCTTAACATCCTTGACAATCCATTGACCCTGACACATAACCTCATCAGTTTTTATAGCCATCTTTGCAAAGTTTTGTTCAAATGACATAATCTTCCCTAACCATGTCTACATCTAGCTGGGGCCGCTGTTTAATCTACCCAGAGATTTTGTCCAAAGCCACTTGATGTTTAATGCATACATGAGCATATATATTCAAGCATGCTATTCATTCATGTTATATTACATCTTTTAAGAGTTACTTCTATAGTCCATGAAAGAAAAACAGCACAGAAGAGGAAGCCTGGAGTTGAATGACCTGCAAGGTCTCAGAGTGGTAGAATCAAGATTAGAACCCAGATCTCCGAAATCCAGCATTCTCTTTCCAAAGTATTTCCTAAATGAGAGACATGTACTATTGGTGGTAATGAGACTTTAGTTGTACATGGCAGGACATCAGTGATCACTGAATCACATAATGGAAGAGTTATCACTTTTAAAATTTACCATTCTCACTTGCAAAGGAACTTGCAAATTGTGCAAGTAAGAACTTAATACAAGGAACAGTGTGATAAAACTAGTGATTCATATTTCTGATGTCCCTGCCATTTTATGGAATGGGGATAATACAAGTGGCTACTTCCAGGACTGTCCTGAGGACTAAGATACTACATGTATAACCTTTATTATATTGTGTAGCACAGATGASCATCTGCTCAGTGCGAGCTAGTAAKATACTAGTCGCACCATGCTAGGTCCTAAGGACATAGGTATTGAGAACCCAAACTACTTACGCCCACACAGCTTACTGTGTGTGTTAACATGACTTTTCCACTGTCTTTTTTAAATATATTATTACTATTCCAGGAAACTCAGAAAGATAAAAGTTGCAAATAACTTTGATTCAGGAACTTCTACACTTTAAAAAACAACCATTTAAGTAAACATCTATTTCATTTCCCAATAAACAGCAAACAACTATTTATTCTCCAAAACTCCTGTCTCAAAACTTGTGACCACATACTAAGTTCCAGTGGGTGACATGGTATGCACATGGTCATGGCAACTTCTGGGTACCTTCCTTAAAAGCTAGCTGGCCTGCAATCTTTGCTTCTCTTCTTTCAGATCCCTGTCTCCATTTTGCCGCTGATGAAATGTGGATACAGTCTGTGAAGACCATGAGAACACCTAAGGTCACGTCCTTGGTTGATAGAGCAGTGAGGTAGAAGCAGACTTTTGTGAGTAAGAGCAGTAGTAGGCCTGAGTGAGAAGAATAAACTCAATTTGTATAAGCCACTGTAATTTGGGCCTTTGTTAACACTAGTTGAATGAATGAGATAAAGCCCCTGACTTCAAAAAMCTCAAGGTTTAATCAAACTCATCTCTAAACCTTGCCCTACATACTCATTTGCTGTCTCTGGTGATAGTACATTTCAAAGGACAGATGAAAAAAACAGAGATTATTTGTGGGTATAACTGCAGGCTTCATTAAGGTATTTAGTATCTGTTGAATGTGCTCAAACTTTTTCCACATATCTAAAATGGATGGTGTGGCCTATTTGCTCACCTGCCTGATCTGTTCCATAAATGGACCCAAATTATCAGCAAGTCAAATCCAGAAATATACAAAAAGAATTATAAGAGCAAGCTTCAAACAAAATAATTCAATAACACTGAGTTTCCTCAGAAGATCAAGGGTTGTATGTTTTCTCTCATGTAGAAGCTAGAGAGGAAAAAAGAAAAGAAAGGTGGTGGGTGAGGATCTCATGAAAATCAAAAGGAGATCAGTAGAGGAAAGGGATCAGAGGGTGGGAGAAGGGGAGGGATGGGGAAGTGATTTGGCCAAATTATATTGTTATATTATGTGCATATACAAATATGTAACAACAAATCCCATCATTATGCACAATACTGCACCAATAAAAAGTACAGAAAGAGAAAAAAATCATAAGTACATTGAATATCCAAAAGAATTTTGAAAAAAAAGAAAGTTTGAAGATATATAGTACTTGATTTCAAGGCTTACTACAACATTACAATGATCATGGTAGTGTGATATTGGCAGAGTCATATAGATCAATGAAACTGAACACAGAAAGTAAAGATAGATCTAACACATATAATCAACTTATTTTTTTTTTAAATTTTTAGTTGTAGATAAATAAGATGGTGAGGATTGAACCCAGAGCCTCGCATGTGCTGGGCAAGTGCTTTACTACTGAGCTACACAGTAATTCAATAGGGAAAAAAAATTCAAAAATTTTTGCAAGGATTATTAGATATTCATATGGGGGAGAAATGAATTTGGATCTCTGCTGGGTTTCTGTTCTCATAACTAAAA